TCCACTCCTGGCTTCACTGAGATACCTCACAGGCCAGCAATTCAACTCTTTCAACTAATGCCATGGGAATAACGTGGCCTAGAGAGATTGTGAGTTTTGCCCAATAGCAATTTATTCTTTGACAATCAAAAAAATTCTTTGGATTAAAAAAAAACTACATTTCCTCAGAAGAAGAGCAGCACCCTAAGAGCCATGTGATTCTTACACTCTGCAAACCAGTAGCCAGAGAACCATTTCAACGCTCCACAAGGCCTAAGGTAATGGCACATTGCCCTGCTAACTGAAAGCACAGTGTTCTCAGTTAAAGAATAAAGCTAAATACAGTTGAAAAAATGCTTTTATTAGGAGAAAAAAAATTAGTGTTTCTTAGGAGAAAAAAAATCTCAATGAGATACAAAATAAAAACAGTCCCGTATTCTCCATCTGTGGTTTTACTACCGTCACAAATTCAGGTCCCAGATGGCTGCCACTTCCCTAGAGATGATATTTGTGGCTCTATGTATCTGCCCAACACAAATAGGATATAGACTTAGAAGCATGGTGCTGTGGGCTAGGTGCTGGACTGCTAAGACAAGGTTTATGGTTCGAACACACCAACTGCTCAGTGTGAGAAAGAGGAGGCTGTCAGTTCTCCTAAAGATAGTCTTTGAAACCCGATAGAGGATAGAGGATCGCTCTGAGTGAGTGGCTTCATGGCAGTGTGTTTGTTAAGAAGGCCAGTGACTTGGTGGTCATGGGCTTTAGAAATTTATAGTCAATGAGAGAAAAGCAACGAAAAAATTCTTGAGAAAGCCCAAAGGGAACAGTAGACGTCACCATCCTATGTTTTCCCCCACAGGTCTGCTAGGACAAAAGTCCCATGCCCTCCTTAGACCAGAACAAGCTGTGAGGAAGGAAGCAGAGAGAGGGGCGAGGGGGGAACTGAGGGGGCGCTCTCGAGCAAACACAGGCCCCATAGCCTGCCTGCTAAGATGGCTGGGCATGCCATCTCCCGGCCTCGGCTATCCAACCATATGTCCATTTCCTTATTTCGCTGCTGGGCAGAGCCGACAGTGGGTACCTGTGAAACGGCAGGTGGAAGTCGTGCCCAACAGAGAAGCCTCCACCTGCACAGGAGATATTTGAAAATGGGGAAAGGCTTAGATTTAATTTCCTTCTGTCTCTCCTTGCCATCCATCTTCTTTCTTAGCTCTGCCTTTATTTTATTAATACCCCCCACCCCACCCCCCTTGTCTCTCTCGTGTCTTGGGTTCTCTTGCTGCCTCTGTCTCCCTCTCTCTGCCTCTGAGCCACGGTCTTCCCTCTCTCTGGCTCTCCACTAGGGACGGCTGCTCCCAACAAGCGCGCAGCATCGCCACGGGGCTGGTGCTGCGCCTGCCCAGGGGAGGAGTGCGGTTTGATAAGTGGCTGTTCAAAGTTCAGCCCTTTGACCTGTGACGGTGAAGAGAAAGGGTGCTGCCAGGTGGCATGACCTTTGTGCCTGGGAGCCAGGCCCTCTGCTTGGCTGTGGAGCTGCCAGCAGTCTCTTGACAGGCCCCTGGTTGGAGGCGGCAGGAAGAGTTTGTCCACCGTGCGTTCCCTCCCCCAGGCAAGGGGCAGGGGCAGCGAACCAGTGTTTTCCTCCCGATGTCCACATGTTTGCCTTCAGGTTCCGCTGAGCAGCCTCTGGAGGCTAGAATTGCGTTTGAGACCTGTGGGACTGGCTAAGGAGCCTCAGCTCTTTACAAGAGAAAGATGAGTTTGAATCTTCAACTCTGTTTTAGGGGTCAGAAGAGACCCCAATCTCAAATATGATCTCAGGAGAACATTGGTGAAGTCCGAAAGAGACACAGACAACACAAAGACACGGATGCGTCATCCGGCGGAGGGAGCCATTAGCACCCAGGTCAAAATAGTATCAGAGGATTCAAGCCAGACACCAGATAAATAGGGCATGGAAAAAAGGGGCCGTCTCAAGTTCATGACTGGTGGCAGCTCAGTACATCACAGTTACGGGTGGGGACACAAAAGCAGGAATGGACAGTGACTGGAGCTTGGCCCAGGGCCTTCTGACCAAGGCAGTCAGGACGAGATGGATAGGGTATGGCTATGAGACCCCAGTACTGTCCCCAGTACAGTGGTGACCTCCGTCATGGACACACACAGGCCAGCACCTAAGAGGCTGCCAGGAGAGGGGTGGAAGCAGTCCACCTTCCCAGGCACTCTGCCTCAGGGCAAGGTGTCCTACATCCACCATGGAGGATCAGAACAGAAAGAGTTCGATGGATGCATAATCTATGTGGGGACCCTGCAAATGGATTTGGGTCTGTCATTGCCATCCCTAGCCTTTTGCAAACCCCGGGTGCTCAGGATTTAAGCTCTAGTACAACTCTATAGGAGGAAGATGCAGCCGTCTGCTCTGGGAAAGATTCCCAGCCTCCGAAATCCTATGTAGGATCACTCTCAGTTGATGGCACCGACTTTGGGGTGTGACAGATAGAGGTCACCAACAGAACCTCTCCAGTCGCGTGGGTGATTCTTTCTGTCACACCAGTTTAGGGTCAAAACCTGGAGGGCCTGCTCATCCCCCACAAGGTCAGGGTGAGGCATCTCCCTTTCCCCTCCAGTTGTTGGTAGGTGGCATGGTGTGGGTTCTGACGCGTGCCAACCCAGTGCACAAAAGACTGACACGGTGCCCCCTGCACCCTCCCCACAGCCATTGCTATGTTGGAGCCATTGTCACAGCCACTGGGTTTCCATTTCCTGATCGTCTTCCTCTTTTTCGCTGCCACTCTGCCAAGCGTGATGTTCTTCTCGGGCACTGGGCCCGCCTGATGACCTGTCCGAAGTACAGAGCCAAAGTTTTGCCATCCATCCTTCCAGGCAGCATTCCAGGTGTCCTTTTTCCAACACAGGAGAAAGATGGGTTTGAATGGTCAGTTCAATAGGAGAACGATGAAGCTGTCTGATTGACAGGCTTCTGGCAGTCCAGGACACTTTCAATATTCTTCCCCAACACCACGGTTCAAAAGTCTCAATTCTTCCTCCATCTTCTAGAAGTATTAGCGGTCGGGCCAACATTTGAGTTTGGCCTCCAGAGCTAGTGAATGAACTGCTGTTGCTCTTGGCTGACATCTATTGCCTGATGTGAATATTGCAGATAAGAAATGCTAACCTCTGCTGTGGTTAGGCCTCCCTTCCCATCATATCATAAGCACATTCTTCCCCCCTCCCCCCGCTGCCTGGTGCCTACAGTCTGTGTCTAGGCCAGCAGGTCTCCACCTGTGGGTCGCAACCCCTTTGGGGGTCAGATGACCCTTTCACGGGGGTTGGCTGATTCATCACAGTAGCAAATTAGTTATGAAGTTGCAACGAAAATAATTTTATGGTTGTGGGGGTCAGCACAACATGAGGAACTGTATTAAAGGGTGGCGGCATTAGGAAGGTTGAGAACCACTGCCCTAGGCTGTGATGGTGCCCTGAGATCTGGAGCACACCGGCGAGGGGAAGCCCTTGGCAGTGGTGAGAACCTGTCTAGACGGGAAGTTCAGAAAGACCACGACTGAGGACTCCTTGCTGATTCTCTAGCAATTGCTAGCCAGATCCTGCTCACTTCTGCCCCTCCCCACCAGCCCATGTCCTGTCACCTATTTGCCGAGGTATTGCCAAGGTGAGAAGGTGTTACTGTGTCTCAAGCACAGCTCTGACCTTGACCCTCCTTGCCTGGAGAGTCTCCTCACTGCTCCCAACCTTAGACCGACCTTGTCTGCTAGGGCCAGGCCCACCCAGCGCCTGGCTCCCCTTCCCAGGTGCCCACGTGCCCAGGTACTAATTCCTGGATCTGCGCCTCCTGCACCTTCAGTGCCCAGGCTTTGCCCCTGCTCTTCCCTGTACTGTCTGGGCCTTTCAGCTCTTCCTCCGCCCCTGCCCTTCCCTGTATGCTTGACAGGCATAGCTGCAGGATCCTCTTGACTTTCTCCCTCCCTCCCTCTGCCCACCCATCTCCCAACCTGGAGGTGACCTTTCCCTCCCTTGCCCCTCAAAGTACCTCTAAGATACTCTGTTGTGATGGCCCCGTCCTGCCTCACCCACTGGTTGTGTAGCCTGGACTGTGAGGTACTCATCTCCAAATCCATGCGCATTAAAGCAAATATAAGGGCTCAGGTGAGCACCGTTTCTGGTACCAAGGCTCCTAACACTTACGTGGGGCTTCTCCCCAGGGCACTGCACTGCACTGGGTCCAGTGTGCTAGAAACAGAGCTGCATTCACCCCATGACAGCCCAGGGGGAATGTGCAGTTTGTACAGGTTAAGATGAAGAGACAAGGGATAGTGGGTACAAGAGATAGTGTACCATCGGGTGGTGGCCCTCTGTGGTCGGGCCCCCCAAGGCCCTTTTATGCTTTCTGTGAGGTGGCAGCAGGGAGATGAGGAGTTTTTTATTTAAACTCCCCTGGGCGTGGGCTTGCAGGTGGAGGGTGTGAATAATGCCTTTGCTAGGTTGGGGGTGGGTGGCAGCGACTCCAGGTATTCGGATTGGTTCTGTCCCTGCAGTTTTCCCAATCTCTGCGAGGCGGATTATGCAATGTTTATTTGACTGCCTTTCCCCACCCCCTTTTTTAAATCATGTTATTGGGGGCTCTTACAACTCTTATCACAATCCATAGTGTCAAGCACATTTGTACATTTGTTGCCCTCATCATTCGCAAAACCCTTTCTTTCTACTTGAGCCCTTGGTATCAACTTGAGTGCCTTTCCTTTTCAGGATTCTAACATTCTACCTGTGCTCCATCAGAGAAGATTTCTGAACGGAGACCCGGATAAAACCCTCTCGGAAGAGCTTTCACCCGAGCTCTGGAGGCCTGCCTGGGCCCCCAGGCACCAGCGACTGGGTGGCCCGGTGCTCCTTTAGCTCCGGTGTTATGCCAAGAAGACAGGAAGCCCTGTTGCACCCACTCCACACCCTTCTACCAGCGCTATTAGTTTAATTTCCATTAAAAAAGAACAATAACAACCGTGTACCTTAGCTAAGCCATCCGGAACTTGAAAGAAAAATGGTAAATTCATCTCCTTCTTGGATGAAATCAGGAAAGGAGCAGAGGCCTGAGGAGACCTGAGAAATCACAACAGGAAAAAGTTAGAACCATCGTCCTTGGGCTGAAGACCCAGCCCTGAGGCTGTGTCCACAGGACCACAAGTACACCCCCCCTCCCCCAGGTGGCGCTCTCTCCCCATCCTGGATGCCCCAGCCATGAAGGAGCCCCTCTGGCTTCTCTCTCCCTCTTGTTTTGAACTAACCAGTGCAGGGCTGTGTGGATAGAGGCAGGGAAAAGAAGAGCTGGTCAGAGCACAGGTGTGGTGGGTGACACCGTCCCCAGACCTCCTTCTGAAAGTGTTGCTGCCTCTAAGGGGTCTGAGGAAAGCCTGTCTGAGGTTGACCTGAGAAATTCTAGGTCTGTCCCTGCAAATGTCAGAAGGACAGAGTCAGGTTGCTACCTCTGAACTGTGTCAAAGACCCAGTGAGACTCAAACAAGATGTGTCCCTCAAACTTTCAGGCAGGTTGGAGTAGGGGAGGAGAAACAATGAACACGTTTTCACAATGATCAGAGGACCTGTAAGCGATGGGACAAAAGGGAGCGAGGTTCACAGGAAAACAGTCTACTTTCCCCCAGGGGCCTATCAGCATATCAGTGAGATCCTCATTGTTCCAGGGGGTGGCTGACTGGACATCCCCCGTCTCAGTCTCCATGCTTAGCTTCTTGAAAGGCCCTGCTGCCTCTTCCCTGCAACTTCGAATAGCGAGCAGGTTGAAAAGGCATTTTTACTGGGGAGGAGGAGACTGGTACTTTCAGGGTCCTTTTTATCAAACTACATTTCAACAGACCAGATTCTGAGTTATGTTACATTTCTACTGTTTGATTAGCAGCAGGCTAACTCTTTCACCGCCTCTATCATAAGGACGTGATTTGCATTTCACGGCAGTCTGTCCTTGGGCTCCTGCCCTGCCTGCCTGGAGTAGGATCCCTGCCCACCCACAAGGCATTCTTCCTCCCTCCCTCCATGCCACCATGAGCTGCCCACCTACCGCACTCCTCCCTTCTGGAAACCTTCCCCCAGTCAGCTAATGAGCCGCACAGGGGTACACCATGCTCTTCACGGGGTGACCTGCATGGGCCTCCTCACAGCATCACAGGGCAGGGGGCACAGCTCATGGGGCCTGGTGAGCACGGCCACCCGTGTGCGTGCCCCTGACCTTGGTGACTTGCAGCTGAGCCACGAGCCCTCTCCTCTCTAAATGAGGAAGCATTCCCTGCACATCGGGCCCTGATATCCAGTTGGTGAAGAGCTAGTTTCACCCCCTTGCCACACCGCAAGCCTGCCCCTGCACCTTCAAGGCCGGGCAGTGGATGAAAGACAAAGATGGTACCTCGTCTTGGAGGAGGGACTAGGGGGCTTGGAGCTGCCCCTAAACACTGAGCAGGAGAAACCTAAAGGCCAGGGGAGGAGTGCTTTGGGTAGTGATATTCTTAAGTGCTCTGTGGGGACTGAGGGGACTCTGAGCTGCATGATGAGGGTCGCCGCAGTACATGCAGGCCAACCCGAGCGAACACTCACAGGGAGTGGGGTCAACAGGCCAGTCTCCCCCTCCTCCTGCTCCAACCCCCCTGCAGTGTGTTTCCAGAACTTGGAGTGGAGGCCCTCAGAGAACATGTCATGAAATGTCGCTTAACATTTCTGCCCTGTTCTGCTGAGAACTGCTTGCCCAAAGCCATGTGGTACTTCAGGTACCTCCAGCTCTTTCTCCCAAAGCCAGGGACTCGGAAACCTTCTGTCAGGAGTAAATAGCTGGACATTAAATGGAGCCTTTGGGAAGAGGAGGAGCTTCTTCTCCGTGTTGATCCTTCAACCAACTGTTCCAAATCCCTCCTAACAACGAGCGGGGCAGGCACCCAAACACCACAACCAAACTCACTGCCAGCTGGTTGCGTCTGACTCATCTTGACCCTGAATAGGGTTTCGGAGACTGTAAATCTTTAAGGGAGCAGGCAGCCTCCACCCTTGAGGACCTTGTGGGTTTGAACCTTTGACCTTGCAGTTAGCAGTCCAGTGCACACTGGGCAGTGCCATTGCCACCCCAGATCCGCTTGGAATAGCAATGGGCTAAGCTCCACTGTTCCTGTTGATTTTTCTTTCCTTGAACTCACTGGGCACAGCCAGCACAGGACAAAGCACCACCTCCCCTCCCAGAAGTCTACAGATGCCTACTCAGACCCTCAGGGCATGGCCGGGCTGTGACCAGATGCTGAGGATGCCTGTTGGTGGCCTGGTCTGTCTTTCTCAGGCCTCACCCCCACTTTCTGACTCCTCTCAAAGGCTGGTGAGCCCCTGGGTGGGGCGCATCATCAAGTGCTACAAACCTATGGAATGCAACTCCACTCTGCACATACCGGGCTGCCAGAGCCCAGATCAACTACAGCAGCATCGGCGGCCTGCACAATAAAGGAACAGGCAAAGGGGGGTGGGGGTGGGGAGAGACAGGGTGGACACAGGGTGCTGTGTCCCTGGCTGGAAGGGCAGGTCTAACAGACACACAGGCAGGACAGTGGGACAGGATTGCGGGATGTTAACCTGTTCGAGGCCCAACATTGGCAGCTTCACATGCAAGCCCACATTCCTGGCAGTGTTACAAAAAAGCAAGTATTTCTCAAAAATGAGCTGAGGTACCTGCAGATGATACAGGCTAGGATCGGGTGGGGGCTGTCCCCACTGCCATCTCCAACTGGCTTGTTTTCTGCTCACGTGTCCCTGCCCCAGGGCTCAAAGGCACCTGCGCTGGTATGCCCGTGCCATCAGCAGAAGACACCATGGGGTCACTACGAGTCAGAATCACTGCTATGACGGTGGGTGGTGGGTTTGGCTTTCTGAGCATCCCTAACTCATGATGTCGTAACAACTCTGAATAAGAACTCGATCACCTAGGGTTAGTTTATAAGCAAGCTTTTGAGTTCATGGACCTTGGGCTCCCTGTTTTATAATAAGACACCAGTTAGAGTTTGCAGGAGCCCCGGTGGCCTAGTGGGTTACACATTGGGTTGCTAATTCCAAGGTCAGCAGTTCAAAACCACTAGCTGGTCCTAGGGAGAAAGATGAGGCTCTCCGCTCTCATGAAGAGTTAGTTACAGGCTTGGAAACTCACGGGCAGTTCTCCTCTGACCCATGGGGCTGCTATACATCAGAATGGACGAGGTGGCAGGGAGTGAGTTAGAGTTTAGAGCAGTGATTCTCAACCTTCCTAATGCCCAGACCTTTTAATACAATTCCTCATGTTGGGTGACCCCCCCCCCACAACCATAAAATTATTTTCGCTGCCACTTCATAACTATAATTTTGCTACTGTGATGAATCATAATGTAAATATCTGATACGCAGGATGTATTTTCATTGTTACAAATTGAATATAATTAAACAAAAAGTATAGTGATTAATCACAAAACAATTTGTAATTATATATTGTGAAATATTTATGTGTTTTTTGATGGTCTTAGGCGACCCCTGTGAAAGGGTCATTCGACCCCCAAAGGGGTCGCGACCCACAGGTCGAGAACCTCTGGTTTAGATGCATCCATACGTAAAAAACGACAGAAGAGGACAGGCATTTGAGGAGGGCTCTGAAGCTACACAGACTCTGGAACTGCTCATGGAGAACGTCGATTTTGAGAGGGCATAGCAGACAGAGGGGCAGTACGAGTGAGTGACAGAGGTACGTGGAGGGAGCCACAGAATGTCCCTCATGGAGAGCCACTTTCCAGGGGCAGGAAGTCACTGACAGCGACCAACAGGAGGAAGCCTTTTTTAAAGAGAGCACAGCCTATCTGGTCAGTTGCCTTACTTGCCAGGGAGCTGACACCTTCGCTTAGTCTGTGATCTGCCGGGGAGCTTGCCTCCCCTCCCTGGCCAGCCCTTCCACATTCTCCCCCACATGCTCCCACAGTCTCATGCCCACCCTTCCATTCCCCCCCACCCCCACCCCCGTGCAGGAGCAAATCACCGTGCCAACAGGCCATCTGGGGGCCTGAGGAAACCCAGAGCTGAAAAGTTCCTTACACATGGAGTCTTTAATTTACAAACCGACCAACAGAACCCCCAAATATGTGTCCTTATAGCAGTTTGTTTGGAAAAGGAGGGACTGCAGAGGGCTGGGTGAGATGGCCTCAGGTCAAAGGTTGGGAATTGCTACTCAGAAAAGTTTGGAGTTGCCTGGTTCCAGCCTCGAGTGAAACTGGAAAATTTCAAACAAAACAAATTCACTGCCACTGAGTCAATACTGACCCACAGCGACCCCATAGGACAAGGCAGAAACGCCCTGAGTGGTTCCGAGACTGTAACTGTGTAGACAAGTGGAGAGACCCATCTTTCTCCCGAGAAGCTGCCCTTATAGATCGCAGTCCAATGTGTAACCACGTGCTACCAGGGCTCCTTCGCGAACTTAGGCCAAGCTGAAGCGTTGGGGCAAGAGGGAGAAGGGAGTCTCACAAGGCTTTGTCGTGGAGCCTTTAGAAGCCTCTGGAAGCGAGAAGCGGCTGTGGCAGAGAGGAAAGTTATTTGGGATCCAATCTCCGCAGTCTGTTCCCAGTGCTCACTTGTGTCACCAACAGAGATCCTTTCTGCTTTTAGAGCACTCGCCTGTGTAGGTGTGCCCTCATCACTACTCCCCACCTCTCCAGAGGTGGGTTATGTATTGGGCTGCTGACCACAAGGTCAGTAGTGCAAAACCACCAGGCATTCTGTGGGAGAAAGATGAGGCTTTCTACTCCTGTAAAGATTTACAGTCTCAGAAACCCACAAGCGCAGTTCTAGTTTGTCCTATAGGGTCACTGTAAATCAGAATCAACTTTAGGGCAGTGACACACACACACACTCAAGAAATATCTCTTAAAGACTTCTCTTGACCCCTCTGCCCTCAGAAGCTGAGCTGTTACCTTCTGGGAATGCTGAGCACTAATGGCTTGTTGATGAGACTGGCCTCACTAAGCCAAGGAATCTTGTCAAACTTTGGGACAGACACCTGGAGAGAAATGGAAAGAGATTGTTCTTCAGAAAAGGCCACCCTGGGCTGTCATGGCAATGATCAAAGTGATCTAATGGCAGCCATGTTTCAGTCATATACCAGTCAATACTTTACACGACAGTTTTAAAAATAGTTTTATTGGCATACACGTATACTTCATACAACACACAATTTAAATCTTTCAATCATATTAAGATGCATTGTGCAAACATCACCACAATCAATTTCAGAACATTTTCTTCTCAAACTCATTGTTGGTAGCTCTCCATTCCCCACCTCCCCTGCCATGCCCTTAGCCAATTATTAATACAGTTATTGTATCTACAGATTTCCTTATCCTGGACTTGGTAGACAGAAACTCACACAAAACATAAACAGGAAGCATGCCAACAAACCAACCAACCAAAAAATCCCAATGGCATCGACAGAACAAAATGGAAGCAAGAAAAACCTCAATTGAAATGAAAGCAGAAAAGATTAAAAGCTGGAAAAACATGAAACTGAGTCAAAAGGAATATAAAATAATACGGTATTGCATTTTAACCTGACGATATTTGCCATAATCAACTTTACAATGCTCTTTGTCTGGTAGCAGGGCTATTCATGTCCTTGGACCATGATCATGGGTGTGTGTGTGTGTGTGTGTGTGTGTGTGTCCCATACCAGGAAACTATGCCAGGTACAGAATATTTTTATATGTTTTGGTTTTGACCCTTAGAACCATCCCGTACAGTAGCCAAGTGCAAATGCTATCATCTCCATCTGACAGGTGAAGAAATCAAAGGCAAGTGTGCGGCATGCCCTGAGGCCCCAGCTGCTAAGTGGCTTCAGGTTTGCTGACTCCTGGCCACCGTCTTTCTTGTGATTCCCTGTATCCCTCTGTTTCATTTGATCTTTGTTTAGGCACACTCTAATATTTCCACAAGAGAGTAGTAAGCTACCATGCGTTTCACGCCTCTGGCGATGAATTCAGCCAGGGGCTCCTTCCTCCACCCTGGCCCTTCTAGGTAAAGAATGAATAAGCTCTGAAGCGTGGGAGAGAACCGTGTAGTGTTAATCTGGGCCCATCCTTTCTCCAGTTCTTGGACAAATCACCACCTTTCTGAGCTTCATGTTTGCCTCAGTGAAAGGAGTGTGACAACTTTACTTAGAAAGGTCAAAGTGCAAAAAAGCAAGCTCCCTGAGGGCAGGCATTTTGTTGTCAGTTTTGTTCCTGGCTCTATCAGATAGGAGCACCTAGCACAGGGCTTGATGATTGCTGGCGTTTGGTGACTATCAATAATAGGAGCTCAGTAAAAGGAGTCGTTATCATCTTTCTTCTATCCCATCCCTGGCTTCATCGGTCTCACCAGCCCTTTGACCACACCTTACCTGTCCTTTTGTTGGGATTTGCTTTCCAGGGTTCTCAGTGTTCCATTTGAAACCCGTCCCAGGGAGAGTAGCCCGGAGGCCTTCCGAGCAGCCAGGAGGGGGCAGCAGCGTGCTCGCCGTTCTCCCTAGAGAAGACAGACGCTCTTGCCGCGGAGTTGGAGGTGGACCCGGAAGTGTTTGGTCGTCTTCGCGACCCTGGCGGCCCGGATGGGGAAGGATGCGGGCTGCCGGCCTCCCCCGGCCGCGCATCCCTGGGAGTCCATGGCAGGTGCGTTCCTAGTGGGTGTTATTGTTTCCGGGTCCCCGGCTCCCCTGCCATCTTCCGTAGTCTCAAGGCTCGGCCAGGGGCGGCGGCGGGCAGGGGCGGCCTGGGGGTTTGGAAGGGCGTCCCCAGGGACACCCCATCTCCGTCTCAGCCCTGGGGACGGGCGTTGCCCATTTCGGAGCCGCGCATCCCCAGCTCCGGGTGGTGGCTGCAGGGTGTAGTCCCTGCTGCCGGGAGCTGGACTCCCAAGGCTTGAGAAGCAAAACCCGTCGTGGAGTCCATGGAAGTAATAACGATTCGGCAATAAGGATTTTCCTTCCCGTGGATTTGCTGGATGGCCCTTCTGTTGTAGTGCTTAAGCGTTGGGCTGCGATCCGCAGGGTGGGCAGTTCGAAACCACCAGCAGCTCCGTAGGAGAATGACTGGGCTTTCTACTTCCGGAAACCCCCAGGAGGTCGCTGTGAGTCAGCATTGACTCTGTAGGCAGCAAGTTTGGTTTTGGAATGAACCCGTTGTGGAAAAGAAATGGTTATTTTCTTTGGTCCTCAGTAAAATTTACCTGCTTTAAGTCGGAAGATAGCTCTTTACAGAACGTTAAACTCACTTAATGGTTAAAGAAGCTGTAGTTTATCCGAATTTTTGGTGTTGACTAATAAACCATCGAGCTCATAATTCTGTTTTGTGCAGTTTATTGTTGTCTTTAGATTGGACTCCCTGAGACCCATTCATAGACTCGGGTGTGTGAACCAGCAGTTAGAATTGATGTAGAGGGAGACATGAGAGGAGGCACACGCTTTGGGTTCACTTTCCTTTGAATCCACGCCCCCACATTGACCGCTCTAGTGTCTTGGACTAAGTTATCTAAGCAATTGGAACCTCAGCCTCATATACCAGTTAAGGTGGCACTAATACAACTGGAAAGATCTGGAAGCTTAAGTTGACAGATGGTATGTAAGGCATCTGTCCCATAGTAGATAATGAATAAGAGCTTGCTAACGAGTGACTATTATTGTCCAAGGGCTTATATTGAGTCGTAGAAATGCAATTTTAATGCCCATAATTATGAAATGGCCACCATATGTATGAGCTGGTTTGATTTTGAACTTAGTTTGTCCGTGCCCTTTCACCACTTTTGTAGGTTCATAGTCTTTCTTTTTCTAGGAAATTGCTGTACTATTCTGCCTCAGAGAACAAACTCATCTATTGTAGACCTAGCCTGGGTCGCTGCCTTTGCAACAACGGAAGGTCGGTAGAACATCAGCTACAGCACAGCATGGAATTTCCAGCGAGGTCTTACTTCAAAACTGTATAAAGAAGCAGAACTGCACGGACTTCTGCCAGGGAGACTGAACCAGCCTTAGTTTAAGGAAAAGGATAATGTGTGACCAACCAGTCAGGAACACTAACGAGGTCAGGTGGCAGAAGGTCTTGTATAAGCGACAGCCATTTCCTGACAACTACGTGGATCAGCGGTTCCTGGAAGAGCTTCGGAAAAACATCTATGCCCGGAAATACCAGTACTGGGCGGTGGTGTTTGAGTCCAGTGTGGTGATACAGCAGCTGTGCAGTGTGTGTGTGTTTGTGGTTATCTGGTGGTATATGGACGAGGGTCTGCTGGCCCCTCTCTGGCTCTTTGGGACCGGCCTGGCTTCTTCCCTGATTGGCTATATTTTGTTTGACTTCATTGATGGAGGTAAAGGGCGGAAGAAGAGTGGGCGGACACGGTGGGCAGACCTGAAGAGCGCGCTGGTTTTCATTACTTTTACATACGGGTTTTCCCCAGTGCTGAAGACCCTGACAGAATCTGTCAGCACCGACACCATCTATGCCATGTCAGTCTTCATGCTGTTAGGCCACCTCATCTTCTTCGACTATGGTGCCAACGCCGCCATTGTGTCCAGCACACTGTCCTTGAACATGGCCATCTTTGCCTCCGTTTGCCTGGCCTCCCGCCTGCCGCGGTCCCTGCATGCCTTCATCATGGTGACGTTTGCCATCCAGATTTTCGCCCTCTGGCCCATGTTGCAGAAGAAACTGAAGGCATGTACTCCTCGCAGCTACGTGGGGGTCACGCTGCTCTTTGCGTTTTCCGCCTTGGGCGGCCTGCTGTCCATCAGTGGTGTGGGAGCCGTCCTCTTTGCTCTTCTGCTCGTGTCCGTCTCGTTCCTCTGCCCTTTCTACCTCATTCGCCTGCAGCTCTTTAAAGAAAACATTCACGGGCCTTGGGACGAAGCTGAAATCAAAGAAGACTTGTCCAGGTTTCTCAGCTAAGTTAGGGCTCTCCTGAGTCCGTTATTAAGGCAAGCCAGTACACCAGCCTCCGAACTAGTATAAGGCTTGAGGACCGTGTTCCGTCCTGGACGTAGCGTGCTGATGCGGGAGGGAGAGCAGAGATCAAAAGCAAAAGTTAACCAAAGGCTGACGTGGTGGAGGCCCCTTTCCATTCTTCAATGTGTGGATGACAAAGCTTCCTGGGCCCTCTTGAATGATTGCTTCTTATTTATTATTCACTGTAACAGATGAAGTGATGTGGCTCCTATTTATTAAAAAACCAACAGCACATCAAGCATTTTGTCTCATGATTTTTTAATGCTAGAAGGAATATACAGCACAAAGAATAAATGATCAGGTAGAGATGAAACTGTCTGCTCCCATAAAGATTTCAAGTATGGGGAATTGTGTATTATTATTCATAATTAACTAGATGCCGGTTGTTGTTTTGACTTTGTCTATATAAGATAGAGCATTGGCTGTTTTTAACACCAGGGTAGGCCCCGTTGTGTATCTAGATGCTTTGTGCAGTGTCATTGCCCGATATTAAACTCAAGATTTACTACTTAGTTCTGTGTATCTCCACAGATCAATTCTAGCAAACATTTGTTAAATCTCTTTTAACAATAGCTGTGTGCTGTAGTGCTGTTGTAATGACAGATGAAGCTTGTACACAACAGGAGGATAGAGCGTGCTGCTGTGGGAGTTCAGAGGGGCTGGGAATCAAGTGTAGCTGGAATAATGCGTGAGTAATCATAAAGAAGCTGGCATTTGAACGTGGTCTTAGAGGCTGGATGGTATTTAAAAGGGCAAAAGATGGCATTAAGGCAAGGTACAGGCCATCAGTGATGTGAGCAAGAGCAGCTGACACACGAGGACTCATGGCATCTGGAGAAAGCATGTCCTGTCCAGTGGGGGAAAATATTTTGTTGCTCCATCTGATGGTTGCTATTCAAACTTCAGGGCTAAATTCACTTCTTTGAGATACCATATGAAATTTCACTAGCCGCAGATAAATCTGACTTGTAAATTCTATATTAAGATTACATGAAGGAACCCCGCGAAGGTCAAATATCATTTGTCAAATATCGGTACAGTGATGCTGCTGTACCGAATCTGCCCTCAGTTCAGGCCCATAGGGGAAAATGTACTTGATGGGAGTTTGGGGTCTGTGGGGCACAAAAAAGTGGAACTGAAGGTTTGAGAAAGAATTTGGAGCATATGTGTACTCTAGAAATTAGGCCAGTGGTTCTCAACCTTCCTAATGTCACGACCCTGTAATAACAGTACCTCATGTTGTGGTGACCCCCCAACCATAAAATTATTTTTGTTATTACTTCATAACTGTAATTTTGCTATTGTAATGAATCGGGTGAGAACCACTGATTTAGGCTCTCGGTTATTTCAGGATGGAAGTCAGTCACTAGATACTGGACTAATTGAACTGCATTAAATCTTAGTTTTTTTTCCCTCTGTAAAGAGGGAATACCAATGGCTCAAGTAGAAAGAAAATGTTTTGAAAATGACAAATGTACAAATGTGCTTGACATAATGGATGTATGTATGGATTGTGATAAGAGTTGTATGAGCCCCTAATAAAATTATTTTAAAAAAAATAAAGAGGAAATATTAGTGTCTACATATAGGATTATGATAATCAAGTGAGAAAATAGATACAACATGCTTTGAAGAATAACATCTCTTGTTAGCGATCAGCCCTGAGGACTTGAGTTGGTTGTTTTAGGCTAAGTGTAGGGTCAGCAGTTTGAGCCCACCACTCACTTTGAGGAGAAAGATGAGGCTTTTTAATGGTAAGTGTTGGGCTGTGATCTGCAAGGTCAGTTCTGCTCTGCTCTAAGGGTCACCAGGAGTCAGAATTGATGCTGGGGCAGTAGGTTCGGTTTGGTTTGGGGATGATGATGATGTTGATATATAGGAAGATTTGAGAACAAAGTGCAAAGAGCAGCACGTGTCTCATAATAGAACGTCTTCCTGAGATAGTTCATTTGGGGCAAATTTCTGAAATCTCATTGTATGGTATTCCTAGGACGTAATGTTCCTATTTCTCTGAACCTGGATTTCTCATTAATACCTTGACTAGGAGTCTGACTTAGGGTCTTCAGTTTTGTAATTCCATGTGTGTGTTTTCTTCTGACCAGAATTTGTACAGATGATTTGTTTCATGACCAAAATGGGCTGTTCTGATTGAAGTCAGACAGGTTTTATGGGCCCACAGACACTGGCCAGTGGGAGAGAAGGATCTCAGAGACAGACCTGTGGAGCCCAGAGTCTCCATTTCCTGACCTGCATTGGGTTTGGCCTTGTTTCTCTCAAGTAGCCAGCTTTCTCTCCTATTTATTGTGCACTCCTCATGAGAACAGGTTGGAGGAGGGATTCAAGATGGTGGTTGAAGGGTGATATGGAATTGTCTTTTGTGTCAATAAATTTGCCTATTTGAATGGATTTCCAATTATTGAGGGGATTAATGTGGCAAGCATGTCCATGGATGTGAGCATAGTTCCCATATTTGACCCACATTTAAAAAATTGCTTCCCCCCCACCTCCACCTCTCCCCAGAAGAATTCACTTCAGAGGACAGCACTGAAGCTACAGCTCAGGGAGAGGGACATGTCTGATCAGAGCACACAGGAGCAAATGAAGGGAGAGAGAGAGAGAGTGGAACACATCCTGGCCCAGCAGGCCCCGAGGACGATATTCCTGCTCAGAGCAGCCAGTGCACAGAGAGGACCATATGGCCAGCCCCACTATGAGACACACATCCCTCATTAACCCAAAGCCCTACAGGGGACAACACTGGAGAGACAGTATGGGGATAGTGCCTGATCTGACCCCACCACACGGAGGCGAAACACTAAGGGTGTGCAACAGAACAGCAAGGGGAGCAGAACAATGAAATCCCCAGGGAATACAAAAAATAGACTGTGGGGCCAGTGCGTGGCCCCATCAGACTTGACTGGAAAACACTCCTGAAGGTCAACAAACCTTGAACAATTTATAGGCTTTTCTTTTATTGTTTTTGGTTGTTATTTTGTTTTCTTTTGTTGCTTTGTTTTGCTCTGTCTCGTTTATTGTGCATATTGTCTCTGCATGTCTATCTAGATAAGATAGGTGGGGTAAACAATCTGGAGGAGAAAACAGCAGGACCTACGCTTCCAGGGGGACACAGGAGGGTGGGAGGTGGGAGAAAGGACGTGGGTGTTAAAACCAGGGACAAGGGAACAACAAGTAATCTAAAATCAATGGTGAGGAGGGTATAAGAGGGCTGGTAGGGCTTGGTCAAGGGCAATGTAACCGAGAGGAATTACTGAAACCCAAATGAAGGCTGAACATGATAGTGGGACAAGAGGAAACTAACAGGAAATAGAGGAAAGAACTAGGAGGCAAGGGCATTTATACAAGTCTAAATACAGGCATGTGCATAAGTAAATTTATATGCATCGATGAGGAAATAGATATATGTACATGTATTTATAGGTCTAGTATTAAGGTAGCAGATGGACATTGGACCTCCACTCAAGTACTCCCTCAAAACAAAAACACTTTGTTCAATTAACCTGGCATTTCATGATGCTCACCTTCCCGACATAGCTGAAGACAAAGTGGGAGCATAAGCAAATGTGGTGAAGAAACCTGATGGTGCACTACTATCAAAAGATATAGCATCTGGGATCTTAAAGGCTTGAAGTTAAACAAGTGGCCATCTAGCTGAGAAGCAACAAAGCCCACATAGAAGAAGCACACCAGCCTGTGTGATCGTGAGGTGTTGATAGGATCAGGTATCAGGCATCAAAGACCCAGAACAAAAAATCATATTGTAAATGAGGGGCAGTGCAGAGTGGAGAACCAAAGCCCATATGTAGATAATTGGACATCCCTTACAGGAGGGTCGCAGGGAGGAGACGAACCAGTCAGGGTGTAGTATAGCACCTATGAAACATACAATTTTACTCTAGTTCTTTAATGCTTACCCTCCCCCACTATCATGACCCCAATTCTGCCTTACAAATCCGGCTAGACCAGAGCATGTGCACGGTTACAGATAAGAGCTAGGAACCCAGGACAGATAAACCCCTCAGGACCGGTATTGAGAGTAGCTATGTCAGGAGGGCAAAGGAAAGGTGGTGGGAGAAAGGGGGAACTGATCATAATGATCTACATATAACCCCTCGCAGAGGGATGGACAACAGAAAAGTGTGTGAAGGGAGACATTGATCAGTGTAAGACATGAAAAAGTAATAATTTATAAATTATCAAGGGTTCATGAGGGAGGGAGGGGAAAAATGAGAAGCTGATATCAAGGGCTCACATAGAAAATGTTTTGAAAATGATGGCAACAAATGTATAAATGTGCTTGACATGATGGATGTATGGATTGTGATAACAGTTGTACAAACCCCCAATAAAGTGATCTTTTAAAAATTGCTCCCTAGGGAGATGAATTAATGTGCTTATGTCATTTATGGCTCTCTCATGTCATACTGTAGTGTTTTGAGTCCCCCAAGTGCTGAACCTGTTCACTGTGGATACAGAAGTTGGGTATGGAGGTGGCAGGGATTGGGATGGATGTAGGCAGAGGGATGGATGTAGGGATGGATTGTGGGATGGATGGAGGCAGAGATAAAGGGTGGGACAGGAGCCTAAGATAAATGGCAGGTGTTTGTACCATCCAGAGTGAATGGAACATGCTGTCCATGGGGGAAAAGCCCAGGGTAGATGGGCTAAAGAAGGGGATGAGGCTTGCAAATGCTGAATGCTTTTGACATTTTTGTATCGTATAATCAGTCGTGTAGTCAATGGAAGGAGCCCTAGTGGGGTGTGCATGAAGATATGGAGTTGTTAAATGCAAGGCCAGCAGATTAAACCAACAAGCTGTTCCAAGGGAGAAAGTTGAGGGAGGCGCTTCCCATAAAGACTTAAAGTCTTGAAAACCCAAACTAGCAGTGCTACTTTGCCATCTAGGGTTACTATGAGTCAAATTTGACTCCCGGGTAGTGGGGTTTTCGGTTGTAGTCAAGGGAGGCAGTGGATTATGTGTTGGACAGCTAACTGCAAAGTCAGTGGTTCAAACCCACCCGCTGCTTTGCAGAAGAATGATGCTGGCTGCTCCTGTAAAGATTTATAGCCATCGGATTCAACTCAGTGGCAGTGAGTATAGTCAGTAGGAAATGAAGGCACTCTTACAATGGGATTTAGTGAGAGTATATATTATGTGCATACATAGCTAGAGTGTCCCTGGGTGACTCAAATGGTTAACAACTTGGGTACTAG